ATATATTTTTTTTAAATTTTATATTCACTGAAGGAAAAAGATAACGAAGGAATGAAAACTCTGAAAGAACAGACCATGTTGAATGAGGTGCACYGTAAACAACATCACCCAAAGCAAAAAGTTACAATGTGTTTTGAGGTTTCAAAGTATGAAGTGGCTGGAAATCAAGGAGAAGAATCTAAACCAAGAGGGGAACAACCAAAAAATTTGCACCACTCATTAAAAAATCCAGGCCAACCCTGGAGGAGTGCATCTGCAGGTAAGATTACAAAGAACTCAGAGGAAGGAATTTGCCTGGAGGCCAAGCTAAGAGCTATCCATCCCCAGGGAGACAGATTTCAGTGTTTGAGTTGCTATAACAAAAAAACATAAATTGGATGGCTTACAAACAAGGGAAAGTTCTGTCCTAGTTTTAGAGGCTGGGAAGACCAAGATCAAGGCACCAGCAGATTCAGTGTCTGGTGAGGGCCTGTTTTCTGATTCTCAGGTGGCCACCTTCTTGCTTTGCTATCAGGAACCCAAGCCCTCATTTTCTAATATTATCACTTCGAGGGGCAACATTTCTTTTATTTATTTACTTATTTATTTTTAGCAAGCAAGAAGTAGGTTTATTGAAAAGAGACAGAGATGCAGAGACAGACTTCTCTGAAGAGAAGGGTCCCCAGAACCAGGAACCCAGTGGGGGAATTCTGGCCTGTTCTTTTTGTGGTCTCTGGAATTTCCTCCCTTCCTTATCTCCTCCCCTGTCCATGTACTGCTCACTCTTATCGATGGGTGCCCCCTGTGTCCACATGTCTGTTTTTTCTATTAGATCCCCTGCTTAGGAGCATGACTATGGAAGTGTCTGTCTGATTGAGTCCCCCACTTGTGTGAGGGGCAAGATTTCCACATGAGATTTAGAGGGACATCAACATTCAGATCATGGCCCCATCAAAGAAGGCAGTCATAGTCAGTATCTCGAGTTTCCACAGACTCCCTTTGATAAAGGATAAAACTAACCTTTCACAAGCTCAGGATAATCAGACAGAAATGTGTCTGCATGCCAAAAGAAAATTCAATACTTCATAGGAGAACAATGATCCAGGATCTAGAAGGATCATGCTTACAGTCCAATATACTAGCCTTATCAAACATTGGTGAGGATGTGAGGCAACTGAAATGCTCATACATGACTGATGGAAATGTTTACAAAAAAATAAGGTGCAATTACTTTAGGAAAGTAGCAATTTCCCAAAGTGAATGTAGGTGGAAAAGCCTTTACCTTAAGGCACATTAATCTTTTTCTAGGTGCTAAATGTACATCTTACACACACAATTTTAAAATATTGATGTGATTTTAAAATGCTTATAAGCATAAAAAAAGAAAAATAATCCACAAAAACATATTACCTACAAATAACCACTGTTGAATGTCTGATATAGAATTTGTATACCAGAAATGGTGAAGTTTGGATTCATCTAACATTTCCACAGATAAGCAAATATAAAAAAAAATATGTATAGTCAGTGAAGAACAAACAAAAGAAATCAAAGGATGGAGGGATGAAAATTCTTAAAGAACGGCCCCATGCTAAATGACAAAATTATATATATAATTTCCCCATCTCAGGAAATGATACCACCATTCACCCACCTGAAAAAATAAAACTTTTAAGCTTCATGGTTGATTCCTCTCTCTCCCTTACCCACCATTAGCAAATCCTGTTGACTCTACTGTCAAAACTACATCCTGATTCTAGCCACTTCCCATCAACCCCATAGTGACAACCCGATGACATCTCCCCAGAAAAGTATTACAGTGGCTTCTGTGGTTGACAGTGTCAACAGTCATTTTCTCAACAGGGGAAAAGAATGGCACAAAAGAAAATCAAAGTGGCCAGGCATGGTGGCTTGTGCCTGTGGTCCCAGCAACTAGGAAGGCATAAGTGGGAGGGTCACTTAAACCCAGGAGTCCAGACCAAGCTGGGCAACAGAGTGAGACCCTGTCTTGGGAAGAAAGGGAGCGAGAGAAGATGAAGGGAAGGATGGAGGGATGGAAGGATGGAAAGGAAAGAAGGATAAAAGAGGGAGGGAGGGAACTCAGAATGCTCAGCAAGAAGAGTCAGAATCAACGATAGGTAGACAATAAATACCTTCTGAGCTGGTTTTCACCTTTTGTTTTTCATTTTACTAATTTTATATAACATTGAAATTTTTACATCAGAACATCCAACGTTCCTATAATATGCTATATTACATACTTTTTACACATAGTTGTTTGAATAATAAAAATGGAATGAGAATAAAAATGTATATATAAAATCTCTTTAAAGTAAGTAGATGAGCTGGGTACAATGGCCCATGCCTATAATCCCAGCAGCTCAGGAGGCTGAGGCAGGAGTATTACAAGTTCAAAGCTAGCCTCAGCAACTTAGTGAGGGCCTAGGCAACTCAGTGAGACCCTGTCTCCAAGTAAAATATTTTAAAAAGGCTGGGGATGTGGCACAGTGGTTAAGCGCCACTGGGTTCAGTCCTTGGCACCAAATAAATAAAATAAAATAAAGTAATTTAATTATAAGGAAAAACAGTGGTGAATATTTTTTATCATGTTGTGATATAAAAGTGCTTTCTAAACACGAAGGTATGTCTAGAAATTCTCAAATGAATATGAATTATAATAGTAAAAATAACTGTAGCAGGTACGAAAGTATGTGAAAAATMATTAATGATCAGATAAAAAACACAAGAGAAAAACAAGTTATAGAAGAACAAAGAGCTTATCCTTTAAAGATATCCAAACTTCCTTTTTTGAGGAAGTAAGCAAGGGGAAATTGGGATAAAAGATAAATTTTATCTTCTGTAGTATGAGACTGATAAAATTAGAATGATTTAAATTATTAGTATTAGCATGTAGGGAAGTTTACATTTATATAGATGATTAGAAGTAACATAAACTGGGACTTAGGGAAATTTGACAACATCTATTAAAATATAAAGCTCATATACATTTTTGATAACAACTCCACAGTCCTACATAAATATTTTCACATGAGCCCAAAGATATCCATCATTGTGTATGTGTGTGTGTGTGTGTGTGTGTGTGTGAGAGAGAGAGAGACTGATCTCTCTACAATCATTACAAATAATGATTTTTATAAACTGACATAGAAAGGTGTGTAAAATGTATCATAAAGTAGAAAAAGTTGCAACAGAGTATATTCTACTTTTATTGTTAACATATATTCAGTCATATTAGTATAAGCATAAAAAAATTGTGAAGAATATATAAGGGACTCCCAATCATGGTCTCCGCTCTTAGTGGTGACTTCAGACATTTTCCGAGAGCATTAAACTTCCAAACACCAGAAACAGCAGCACTAAAGAACAGGATTCTCTAGGTACTGGGTCAAATGGAGCTAACTTTTATATTCTGAAATGCAGTGTATCAAACTTTTTAAATAGAGTCTCTCTGGTATGAAGAAGTTGGCAGTTGGTGACATGAATATCTCAGCAAAATAATTTTTAGCCATGCAGAGTAAGAGGGATCTATTTTCAGAATGCTGGGGAGAAAGTTGACCTGCCCTTTTGCCTTCCCAACTACTCCTCCAAGTTCCACATTCTTACCCCAGTGACCATCAATGATCCAGAATGCCCTAGTCAGCTTGTCTGTTCCTGCCCTGCATGTAAAGTGGGAGTAGAACAAATAGCCTTCTTGTCTACCACCTTCTCTTTTAATAAAAAGATAACTAGAAATACATCTTCACTGGCTTTGATTTACATTGCAAATAGAGAAAGTGGAACCTCCACTGAATCACATAACACTGAAGTTAAAGTGTCCTAATCATCCTTGGCTCTAAAGCAACAGCACAGTCACTGGAAAAGAGGCCTCTCACTGGGAGAAGGTATTGCACATTCCAGAAATAACCAGAAAATTCGAATGGCAGGAAAAGCAAGTACTCTTATCTGGAGTATTCACCTGCAGCCATTCTAGAAATGTCTATGGATAATTATACCCTGTACAATAGTGCCATTTTTCCAAAAATTGCTGAGAAACAAACTATCTCATGTACATATACTTGTATACATTGATACATATATCTGTAAATATGTATGTTAAAAATATCAATTGCATCCCCCCAAAACTTACCTGCTTGATTTTCAAGTCACAAAATCTAGGATTGGGGTTGCAGCTTCATGGTAGAGGGCTTGCCTAGCATGTGCAAGGCCCTGAGTTGGATTCCCTGAACCACATTAAAAATAAAAATAAAAAATAAAAAAGCACGAAAACTGTACTAGTATGGAGGGACGGGGGAGACAGAGGAAAAAGGAAGATAAATCCCAGGTGAATGATTTTTTTCTACTTCCCTGTTTCAAATCAGTTAAAGAAATGACACACTTCTRGGCTGTGGTATTTTCTTGTCCTAATAAAAATAAAGCAATGGTATATTCACACTATTAACGCAACTACTCCTCAAAAAATTCCCATCCGTTAAGTGCTATGATTCCATTTTTGCAGACAAGGTACATTCAGGTAAACCGAGGCACAGATACCCAGATTTCATTGTCCCTCCCACCCACCAACATTTTCTTGAAACATTAATTTCAAGTGAATGAAATGCAATAAATAAATAAAAACAAACAAACAAACAAATAAATCCCTTCCAGAGACGCTCTATGAATTCTAGGCCATAAAGCAGCAATTCAGAAACGTGGCACAAAAAAAGTGCCTGTGCGAAAGCCACTCGCGATGCACAACGCACACTGCAAACGTTGGGATTACAACAACCTAAACTGGAGCAGCAAATTGAATTCGGTCCCAGAGCTTCAACACGTTTGCCTAYGTACGAGAAAGAGAGGGGAGAAGCCTTTGTTATTACACACGCTCCCAAAGAACGCCAGTGGCCGGGAGCAACTTGGGTCTACTCTGGAAATCATGGAGGGGGCTCCCTTCTCCAACGGGGTCGCGCGCGGGCCGCGGGGGCCCAAGGCGCATGCGTGTCCCCAAAGGCCCGGGCGCTTACCTGATGCGCCTGGAGCGCAGGCACAGGGCAAGGAGTAACAGAGCGACCGCCACCGCCAGGCCCGGGAGGCTGAGCGGCTCCACCGAGAAGTAGCCCATTCTGGARGACAGGTCTCTCGCCTTCCAGTGCGCGCGGGGCCGCGATGGGCAGCCCGGGGGGACCAGCGCAGGCGGCGACTCTGCACACTGCGACCGCTTTTCTGAGCGGCGCCCCCAGGTCCGGGAGGGAGAAGCTGGCCTGCCCGCGGCGCCTACAGGAATGTCACCGCGGGTCTCGGAGGCTGAATTACAAAGTTAGTGGACTCCCCTCCCCCCGCCCACCCCTCAACCACGTGCACCGCCCCGCTGTGTCACCCCCTCCCGCCCGGCCTCTTCTGGAAAACTGCGTCTCTGATCCTTGGGGCAGGAAGAAGGGCCAACCGAGGGGGCGGGGGGGGGGGCGGTAAGGAATTAGGAAGGCCTGGAGGAGGGGGATTTCTCCTCTGAGTTGGAAGTCGCACCCAGCGGGAGGAGCGATTGTCCCTGCTCCTGTGAGGGTTGGAAAGTTGGCCTCTGCGCCTTGACGCAGGCGAAGTCTTCAGAGACCCCCTGGGAGCTGGGCCAGCCGCTGGTACCTGCTAAGTGCACCAGGTGGTTTCATGTTCACCTCCTTCTAACACCCTCTTTGCTCACAAGTTTTTGTTGAAGGCCTACTGTATCCAAAGGCCCCTAGAGCCAGCTTGTAAGAGGTGGTGAACAGCACAGTTGAGAGCCATAAGTCCCACAGGTTGTACTAACAGAGAATAAGGAGGAAACTTGGAAAATATCTATTCCTGAGTAATRATCATCCACCTGATATTTTACACACATAAACTTTCCTTCACAAATTGTGATACAAGTTTTTAAAGTAGTATTTTGTAGAAAATACAGTGAAGCTCAGTCTGTCTATATAACTCATCCTGGTTTCAGTAGATAAATTCTTACCCTTCTAAACTTGTCCTTTTTTTTTTTTTTTTTTTT